GCTTCCAGAGAAAGAGTTCCTTTGCGGCCTGGAGAGGTGAGGAGAGTGAATAGGTGTAATTCATAGCCAAACGATAAAAGCAAATTAAAAACTTTTGCCTCCTATCAACTTAATCGCTTTAATGCCAAACTAACTTCAGAGTGACTTTTGACATCTGAACAGCAGTTGTCTTGTCAAAGCCATTCCTCTAGGGTCCCTCCCAGGAAGAGGGGCATGTGGAGAGGCACGCACCTATGAATTCCTCTCTTTCCTTTTCTTGCTTTGTCTCTAGATTACCAGCTCTTTGGTTTCTGTGAGACTGGGATTTGTATGCCCCAGCCTCAGACATCTTGGAAAATAAAGCTGATCTGTAGAGTAGTCGTTTATATCAACTACTTGAGGTGTCTACTTGGGAATGAGATGAATCATCTAGATGTTTCTGTCTGCAGACTATAACGGAAATCTGGATGACTCCTTCAAGATGTCGATGTCTGCATTAAAGAAGCATAAGGCTAGCTGAGATATAGAATCATGGAATCATTTCAGTTGGAAAGCACCTTTAAGATCGAGTCCAACCGTTAACCTAGCACTGCCAAGTCCACCACTAAACCATGTTCCTAAGCGCCACATCTACGCGTCTTTTAAATACCTCCAGGGATGGTGGCTCAACCACTTCCCTGGGCAGCCTGTTCCAGTGCTTGACATGGAATGTCCCACCCTGTCGTCTTTTCATGTATGGCAAACATCTAGTGGATCAAGATGCATTATTATTAAGAATATGTGTCTCTGCACATAAGGCCTAGATCATAAATGCATCCTTTCACTGTAAAAAAGGTATTTTAATATCTATAACATTAAATCATGATACTTCCTATGATCTTTAGAAGTAAACATGCTTTAGCAACTAAATTAATGGAAATAGTAAATTTTCCTTCAGCTGAAACATAAAGAGTATGACTTTAGAAAGTCTTATAACTGAACTCTGTTGCAACCTGAAATATCCTCAAGCAATTCTTTTATATAATATCTGTGGTCTAGAAGTATATATTTCAAAAGTATAGTATTTGAGAAAATGAATGCCTCTTGGATGACTACATTCAGAAACTGTTGCCACAGAAACCATGGGGGAGGACAGCATCAGGAGAATGAGAAAGAATAGAAACAAAAGAAGTGGATTGGCCATTTATGTGCAAAAAAGCAAGAACAGATATTTGGCCGGCTAGAAGTGTCAAACCTTCAGATATCCAGCAGTTCATCTACTGAAATACAACGCTGCAAGATACATCTGTAATACGATTCCTTACAGTATTAATCAGACATGCTACAAGAGATACTCCTGTATAATCCAGAGTGGACAAAGTCTTCAAAAAATGGCACGAGGAAAATATGACAGCGTGCTGTCTCCCCAAAGCAAAAACACAAAAAGCAATTGCACTATTGCAGAAGCTTGTAAGATTATCTGGGAGATAATTCAGTTTGCAACCAATTATGTGGCATCAAGTGGAACCGTACAGGCCATAGAAAACTGCAGGAATCTTGAAAGGCACTCAAACAGAAAGTCAAAGATTGCCTTGAAGCTTCTTCCTACCCATAAATTAGAGAAAGAAGGCAAAATATAGTTGGTGTGAAGTGCTCTTTCTGTCTGCAGTTCCAAGGGCAAATTTAGATACTGTGGAGTACTGGACCACATTTCGAAAAGAGCGGGGGATGTATGGCTATGCTGGCCTGCATCTGACAGGTGTGGGCTAATCGTGGCTGGAGACTAAGCAGAGCAGCTGGGAAGATGCTAAATTAGTAACATACAAAGAGACTTTTTTTTTTTTTAAAATGCCATGTAAACTTGAGGTGCTGTGTTATGAGCAAACAGAACTCATGCCACATAGAATGAGGGGAAATACAGAAACACTTTCTATACTATCAACCATTAAAATGAGGTACAATATGAGGAAACGAATAAGAGAATTGGAAATTATCACTTAATTGTCAGCATTAAGCCCCTTGGGGTGATTGGAATTATTCACAAATTAAGTATTCCAGGTATTTGACCAGCTAAGGAAAAGCAGGGTGGGTAGACCAGGATTGTGCGTGTGTTTGTGTACGCTTGAGGAGACAGAGCTTTGAAAACAGTTAGAGTCACTGTAATGCCTGTAGGCCAGTATGGTAACTAACCCTGTCTGAGACAAGATACCAGTCATATCTTGTATCACTGGGGAGAGACAAGATCTACCTGACAAAACGCGACAAGAGCATCTTTGCCAACTGGCCAGCCAATGTGCTGAGGAGAACTTTAACTAGGAACAAGGAAGACTCTTGATCTTGATCTTGATCAAACCCTGGGTTTTGGGGGAATTTCAGCCTGCTTGACATCTGCTACAAGCACCACACATCAGAATGCAAGCAGTCAAGGAGATTTCTGAAAGGCATCAAGGATAACTTCTTGATACGGGCTGGGCCAACCAGGGGTGATTCACAGCTGGATCTGCTCTTCACTAACAAGGAAGAACTGGGGGATGTGGTAATCAATGGCTTGGTTATCAAAGTCTTTGCTGTAGTGACTGAGGAGTGGGGTTCGTGATCCTGTGGGGGCTGAGGAAGGAGAGCAATAGACTACAGACCCTGGCTTTAGGGGAACAGACCAGTTTATTCAGGAAACTGGTAGGTGGGATCCACTGAACAGCAGCTCCGAAGGGTAAAGGTGCTCAGGAAAGCTGGCAGGAGAGCACAAGGATCCTAATACTGAGAAAAACAAATAAATGTATTAGGATTTTCAGCAATGAGAAAGCAAAACTGATGTGTTGTGAAGAGAAAAAGAGTGGCTAAATGGGAAATTAAATTAAGGCTGGGGTTATCGTAAGATCTATATTGTTTGGTAAATTCATCCCATTCAGATACAGTGTGTTTTAATATAGGCACAAGTAGAATTACTCAAAAATACAGTGAGCAGGTCATGTCTACAAAGATGAGGGGCTGTCTTGTGGAGAGCAGTGACTGAAAAGAAATTAAGAGTTGGCAGTGGCCAAGCCAGCAAAAATTAATTTCCAGTCTAATGCTATGGTGTAAGGAAATAATGGAACCCTTGACTATATAACCAGAGATGTGGCAAGTAGGAAGAGATGTTATTTTCCTTCTATGTATGGCATTGGGCAGATTTTTGTGGTAATACTGCGCTAGCCTCTGGTGTCCTTGTTGTCAAAAGAATACTGAGAAATTACTTGAGGCTGGAGAAGATTCTTTGAATGGAGAGACTTAAAGAGCACAATCTGTTTGGCTTATCAAAAAGAAGACTGGAAGGTGGCTACAGTGATCTTTAATCTTGCACAGTGAGAGGCGTAACAAGAAAAAATAACTATAAACTGAAATCAAATTCGAATTAGAAATTACGCACATTTTTTAACAGTGGAAGACATTAATGGTTGGAACATGCTGCCAAGAGAAATGGCACAGCCAATGTCTCCTAGGGGCTTCAGTTAAAGAATAGATGCTTTTTGCACAGAAGTACATTAGTTGAACAGATAGAATTAATTCCCTGCCCTGAAAGTCTCTCGGAGCGCGTAGCTGTTATTACTACATAGTATTTGAATTACCATAACACCTAGAAGCACAAGTCAGAGGCCAGAGCCCTTCGCCTCCTTAGTCACTACGTAAGACATTAAGAGAAAACCCCATTCTATCTTCTGAAGAACTTATATTCCAAATGTACAGAGGCACCAATAGACACAGAGGAGCAAAGAGAAAATGAGTGTAAACTGCTGCTGCTCATCCTTTGCCTCTCCTTGTTTCATAATCTTGTGGTTTGGCAGGAGCCCAGCTTACTCTGGCATGTGTGGGTAGGTTGGCTTTAGAAATTGAAGAGTAGGCACGGTACAGGTATGTTTGTGCCTGCATCATCTATCTGTGACTACAGGTGGTTTTGCTGAGTCTGGGGCATGACAGGTTTTTATTAATGTTGTTTGACAACAGACTTGGTCCCACGAATCTATTTACGCGCTCCGCTAACCAGTCAAACCACTAACTGGTCGGACTATTGCTGCAGCATCTGAATGCAGACATACCACATCTGTTGTTCGACTAGTATACAGTATGACTGCAAGATCGTAGCATATTAGGACCATAGGATAATTCAGGTTGGATGTGACCTCTGGAGGTCTCTAGTCCGACCTTCTGCTCATAGCAGAGTGAGATCTGAGGTCAGAACAGGTTGCTTTGTGTATGTATACCTCTTTATTTGTTCTGGAAACTCCTAAATTTGGATCCAGACGTAATAGCGGGGGGTTTTGGTCCTTGCAAGAAAACCATCTGAATTCACCATCTGTATTTTTATTGACACATAGCCCAGTGAAGGTCATCCACCACTCTCACGATACATTAACCAGCCTTGCCATGGAAATGCACCTTACTCTGTGGGCAACGGGTATTGCAGGATTTATGCTATGAGGTAATAGAGAGTGAAAGACATAAAAGAAATTTTCCCCAACTTGTATTTCGTAATTCCAAGAAAACCTGAAGCTGCATCAAATTACACAGAACTGGAATCTTAACACATGATGTGAGTGAAATTGGATCCTTCTGGGGAACAGAAGAGACAAACAGGAAATATATTTGGAAAGTCATGTTATATCAAACCATCTTGTACTGACTGACAGGTAGTTAAACATCTATATTAGTAGATTAATCTTTGTAAATTATGCTGATGGTACATTTTCAGAAAATAAAAATATTTTCTTAACAGTTGTACATGCTCTCTGGGAGCTATGACGGGGGTGATGGTAGACTAACTGGATATGGGAGGATCTGAGCAAGTAGTTAAAAAAGTTATACATTTTATTCATAGGTTCAAAAGAATGAATTCAGTCTTAACTGTAATCATAAGCAAGACATTAATAAATTATCACAGAAAACTATACAAACTATAAAAATTATGATACTATAACTGTACAGTAGATAAATATTATTTTATTCCTTAGCACTTTTCATCAGTAAATCTCAGAATATTTTACGAAGAGGTGTGAGATATAATCGTTATTAGACCAAATCTGTAAACAGAATAAATTAGATGAGAATTCTCTGACAGGGTAAAATTTGCTTATGATGATTTTTCCCTTACACTCATTTCGGAAGACCAAAGCTTTCCTCACTAAGGGTGTTGGGTTTTGTTGGTTTATGTTTGTTTTTTTTTCTTTTTAAGTGGTGGGTAATATTTGTTTCTTGCAGAGTTCACACATGGGGATATTTTGATACTTTCGTTTTCACAGCTCAGCTGATACTGGGCATCTTGCCATATATATATAGCTGGCAAACAATTAACCTGTTATTACACAAAGGATTACCAGCATCTGAAAAGTTAAAGGAGAAAATAAAAAAAATTATGCTACTAAACCGAATACAAATTTCTACCAACAACACTTAAAATATACATCAGTTAAGAGAGATGTCCAATAAGACTGTAAAATATAAGAATTTAGTTGTGTTGAAAATAACAGTAGATTTCTAAACGGTTATCACTGTTTGAGTCTTTAGACTCCTAAAAGCAAGTGAAAATAAAGTTACAGTTCTTAGAAAAAGAGTCCATTTATAAAATGGAAACTCTTTTGAAAGATGTCATTATATTCTGTAAGAGAAATGTGTATAGTTTGGGTCTGAGTGATCTCGATATGAATCTTGTGAACTCGGCATGAAAACAATAACTGTGTGCTTTTTGACATTGTTCTGAACAGAATCTTTTGGAGAAATAGGGCCACAAGTATATTTAGAAATAGGGTTGTTTAATATTGTAATTAAATACTTTCAATAATAGAAACTTTTCTTTAAAAATTAATGGCTTTGATCCTTGACACAGGCACTAGGGAAACCATTGTCTCAGTAACTCCAGTTTCTCCTTAGTATGAAAACCTCAGGGGTCATTGACAGTGCTCTAACACTAACTTGGAAAATCCATTACTAGAGGTGAGAAGTACAAGGCGCTTCTTCAGTCTCTGTGTTCTCTACCAGAATACCAAGCAAAGCTTCCCGCTGCAGTCAGCAAGATAGTATTTTTGTGATCTTCGCAGCAGTTCTCCAAAAGCAAGATTAGCTGTCATGTAACAACAGGGATGCACAATGTGACAACAGGCAGCCTCCGGGTGAAGAGTCTTTGTATCATTACAGTCTACCCCACTAATCAATTCTCTACAGTACCAAGACACAAAGGAAGCTGAGGAGGAATATGTAAAACAGCATGCAGATAGCTACACAGTGGAAAAAATTACCAATAACAGGTAGAAAAAATACTGGAAACAGCTTTGCGGAGATAAATAAAATTGCTGAAGAGCATTTACCGTTAATAGCCTATGTTTTTCATGACACTAATGGGTGGTTAATTATTTTTGTTTTAATTGAAACATATGTCACAGTTAGCAATATTTTGTGCTTCCGCTGATCTAAAGCTATTGTTCAAGTGCATGTTGCAATCAGTTCTCAAACAATGCTCCCTTTGTCAGCAATACAGAAGTAGAATGATTTTGATTTCTTCTCTTGGAAGATTTATACCCTGGAAAACCCACAGTTCCCCTCTGTACTTGCAGATGGTCAGTTAAATACTTCCATCTGGTTATACTTGTTTTTCTCTGGTTATATAATGGAAAAAACCCAAAACAAACAACCCAAAACAAACAACCACAGGTTATTGCATGAGCAGCAGAACTAATAAAGCTCTATTTCATACGGATTTGTGCCCTCTGTCTTTATACCGCACTAACCGAGGCATCACCTCCTTGTCCCATCTGGCCTCATTTCCTCCTTCCACTTCCCCTGTGATTTGGTTTCCTCTTCTCCTTCTTGCCATTTGCCCTCTGTTTTTCCCTGTTTTGCCCCTTCACCTGCACTGCCTCTCTCCCTTGCATAAGCTGCAGCTGCCTTGGAGCAGCACATAGGCTAATTAGCTCGCGTTACTATTCTGCATATTCCATGAAGGACTCCACAGCGTTTCACAAATATTAATGACTCGATCCTTAACAATAACCCTGCTCCATAAATATGTGCTATTATTCCTATTACACATGTGGGAAAGGTGGTCTAGTTTATCCTTGGCTGGTCGTAGCTTGGCCAAATTTATCCTTTGTTAATTCCCCGTTTCACTTCTCCTTGACTGACCATTAATTTGTTCTTTTCTGGCTGTAGTGTTTGTTCAGAGCAGCTGTTGTTGTCTCATTGACAGGAGTTGCCAGAGCGTAGCCAACTCTCATTATTTTATCGCAAGCCTTGTGATGTTTGATAGTTCCCTTGCAACCACAGTTCCTGGGTTCAGGTGATGAAGATTACTTGAGAAAATCACCTTTTGCTTATTGTAACAAACTTTTGGCTCAATAAGCTAGAAAACCGAAAAATGTGATGGCAGGACTGAAAATGTTCAAAACAGGGTGAAAATAAAAGCACATGCATTTTTAAAAAATACAACTATTTTAAAGCACCTGTACCTTGTGATGTCATGGGGTCTGTCTCAGGTTCATCATTTAAGGTACCGGTATGTGTAAGACTGCAGAAGCTACAGACTGTTTCCCATTTTGGGAAGGAGGCTGGCCTGCAAAAAGCAAATCACTCAGTGAAGGCTGACATTTTCTGACCACAAATTCAAACTCTACTAAAGCACCTAGGAAAGAATATATAATTGGAATTATAATCACATGTGAAGTGCTTTAATGCAGAGAACAGGGTGCTTTCTATTCCTGTAGTTTCTGTATTTGATTCTTCCTTCCTTTTCTTTGAAGAAGAGGCTACGAAGGCAGGATGGGATTTTCTTTTAGCATCCAGAAGATATGCAGAACTAGAGTAAGACAATGTTTACTGAAAGATTGTTACAATCTGCTCAGTACTTGAGTTTGCAATAACTCTGGTTACTTTATGCATTATTAAAAAAAGCATTTTGTAGCACTATTAAAGTCATAGATGTTCTACTTTATCTTTATGTTTTCATACAGAAAACCAAATGTAATTTGGCACAGTTTGAAGATAAATTTAAATTTGTGCTTACTGGAATTCAGCTAAGTAGAAAACATTCCTTTACTTGAAATAAAACTAGCAGTATTTTATATAGCCCTTTCCTTCCAGCAAGGTTCTTTGCCATTTCATAAGTAATTAAAAACAATGATATTAATGGCTCTGGTTAGAACAATTAATGAGAAATACAAATGGCTACCTCAGACACCAATCTGCTAATACAATGCCATAGAGTATTTATAGAGTAAAGAGTGATTCCACCCACATTTTTCCTTTGTGCTGTTGCACCTATCAGGCGCGTTGCCTTTTTGAACTACAGCACCTGATGTTGAGAAGTTGGAATCATAGACTTAAAACAATCTCTGGCACCTATGGAGGTCTTTAGTCCACTCCCCTGCTCAAAGCAGGTCCAGCTAGATCGGGTTGCTCAGGGCCATGTCAAGTTTTAAATAGCTCCAAGGATGTAAATTCCACCATCTCTCTGAGCAACCTGGTTGAGTTTTTGTCCACCTTTACATTAAAAACGTTTTTGTTATCTTGAGGCAGAAATTTCCCATGTTCTAACTTCTGTCCATTGCCTCTTGTTCTTCTACTGTGCACCCCTGTGAAGTGTCTATCTCCATCTTCTCTGCACCCTCCCAAGAGATAGCGGAAGAGAGATACAAGAGAGATTTCCTTCTCCTCTGCCAGTTGAGCAAACCCAGCTCTTTCAGCTTCTTCTCATATGTCCCTGTGCTTCAGCCCTGTGACCATCTTGATGGCCCTCCACTGGGCTTGCTCCAGTATGTCCATGTCTTTTGTGTCCTGGGGAGCCCAGAACAGGACACATACTCCAGATGTGGTCTCACAAGTGCCAAACAGAGCGGAAGAATCCCTTGCCCTGCTGGCTAACCTCTTGGTAATACCATCCTGGATGTAGCTGGCTTTGCAGCAAGGGCATATTGCTGTCATCCACCAGGACCCTCAGGTGCTTTTCAGCAACGCCCCTTTCCATACAGCCAGCCCTCAGCCTGTCCTGTTGCATGGAGTTATTCCAACCCAAGTGCAGGACTTTGTGTCTGCCTGTCCTTCCTGTCAGCCCATTTCTCCAGCCTGTCTCAGTCCCTCTCGATAGCAGCCCTGCCCTCCAGTGATTTGACCGCTCCCAACAATTAGGTATCATCTGCAAACTCACCTAAGAATTAGCACCAAAAAAATTGGTTTGTAATATAGTTTCAGTGAGATTTCATCATTTCAAACTCAGTGTGCCATTATTATAAACTGTTCTTATATATGATACTTTACATCAGGTATTACATTTCAGCAGCAAAGATCATATTCAGATCTACTTAAAGCTGAATCTCTTTGCCCTCCAAAGTTAAGCCTGTCTTGAAAAACCAATTGGCATAGGTTGAGCTTCTGTTAAAAGTATACTTTATAGTGAATAAAATAGTCACATGCTAGAAATCAGATAAGGAAAAGGTCAACTAAGCCTGGCCCTCACCAGTCTGCAGTTTTTCCTAGAGTGTATTTGTTTTGTTTTGGCCAATCTATTTCAAAGTGATTAAAGGCCAATTCTGTCCTGTTTATTCTTTATAGACAAAAATTCTTTGAAGGCACTGGAAGTTTTGCCTGAGCAAAATCATCAATATATAAGAACTGACTTTGTGCCACTGAAATCACTGAGAGGCCTGCTGTTGCACAAATATGAGATCAAAAAATTGTCTCCTAGTTCCCGGTTAGCAGGTTTAAGGACAAGCACTGAGACATTTACAGCCAGAAAAAAAAAAATCAACCCCAGGAGCTTCATGTTTCATGGATTGTGATCATCTTCAGTAATAACAGGAAGTATCTCAGAAATAATTGGTGCACAGTAAGTAAGGTAACTGGGACTGTTGTGTATAAGTCCGATCAATGATACTCAAGAGAGATGTGTGGGAATGGGAGCAAATGCACAGAGCCTGCTATGTGTCTGGAGGCTCCAAGAGCCTGGTTTATTTAGCTCAGTAAAATGAAGGTGTAAGGGGGGTATCATTTTTCTGTGTACATAATTACAGAAAAAGGGCAAGCATTGTTGTTCTTCCAGCTAGAAGTACACATAAGCTCAGACATAAACAAGTGAACAGAAAATAGCAGTGTGTTCCTAATCATTAAGCCAGTTATTTCTTAAACTGTAGTTAAGAGCTCCTAAGAGGGCTAGCGAAGGGCTTAAGGGGGGTTGTGAAAGATCAGATTTTTAAAAATATATTTTAATATTAATTCTATACTTATATTCAATACATTATCAAAACAAACCCCCCACAAAAATCTCCACATTATGCAGATTTACTGCTGGCAGCAGCTCTGTTCCTCCATGACAGAGGAGCAAAAAGTATCTGTAATTACCAGCTGTGCCAGCCAACGAGTGGCTAAGCACCTTTAGTCAAACAATTAAATATACAGCGAAGCTGATGCTGACAATATGAGGAGTTGCTTGTTCCTGGCTAGATGGGTTGGACTCGGAGGAGGTTACACAGAGATGGGTGACCTCAAAAAAGTAGTAAGACTTACAAGAAGTTTGAGAAAACACTGCATTAATGAAACCAGTTTCCTGAGAAGCCAGCTCTGTTAGTAAGGGAGGAAAGGAACATTAATTGCTTTTGAAATGAAGTTTGGTAAATCTGAAGTTTGATAAATGGATTATATTATTTGGTACCCGTGAGGAGCTGGTCACAGTTACACAACAGCTTCCTTGCAAGTTCCTGCTGATTACTGTATGGTCGGTGACACAGTATTCACTGACGTACATATACAAGTAGAATGCCATGTTATTCAAACATACAGTTGAATGACAGAACTTGTTCAGTATTTCAGAATTTATGTGGCAGTCGAGATAATGATGGAAAAAAGGCCATTTGTTTGGCTTCAGTATCAATTACCTGCATCTAGTAACATTTTGAATTAGCAATTAATGTATAAGTAACATTAGTATAACAAAAACTTTCACCCATGTGTGATGTGCTGGGCCCCATCACAATTCTTGGTCTATACAGTTTTTGCCTTTTCATTTCTCTCAAAGGCACGCTGTCATTATTTTCCATTCCTCTCTCCATGGCAATGCAGCTCAGTACAGCCACCTGTACTGGCACTTGTGCCATTCCGCAGTGAGGCTGTTCAAGGAGTTTGTCTGTACAGTCATTTTTGGGAGGTGATTGGTTAGTATTTTCAGTAAAATTTTACTGATTTTAACTCCCATGAAACTAGGCTCAGGCTTATATTTACAGAATGGGTTTTGTGGATGAGGAGTTGAACTGACTACCAGAAATAAAAATGTTGTTAGAGCTAGAATCATCAGGGAGCTAAAGAGATGGTGAAAGGGGACAGAAGCAGGACTCTGAGATGCCCCATTACACGATCCTTTTGGAAAGAGTGAACAATGGAATAACACGGTCAACTTAAGAGGTGACGCAGATGACTTTGGTCAATAACTTTTTGATCAAAAGCGCAGGGTAGATGCTGCACTTCTATGGATGGGAGCCTGCCTTAGGGTAACCAGTTTACTTCACAATCTTGATTTTCAATTTAGACTCTTGGTTTTGCAGCTTTATCACAAGAGGAAATACAGATTTCAATCCTCTTTATTTAACACCTATTCTCAGTTATTTCTGTTAAAATTTTGCTCCAGTCATAATCAGCTATCTTTTTTTTCATGTAATGAATGCATTATGTGAGACACAGGATACCTACACCCTACTGAAGGGGAGTATTTTTCATTTTTCACCTCAAAGCCCTTTACAAACTCTCATTAATTTAAATTCCTTCCACACCCCTGCTGAACAACCTAACACAAATGGAATGTCACACTCGAGATCTCTGTGTGTACCACTTGGTCCTCTGAGCTCGGGAGCAAGCCAGATCCCACTGTGAATTAAAATTTCAGTGAAGGATTCCTGACAACCCCATGTGTCAGGGGTTGTAAAGGGGTAAATTTCAGTGAAGGATTCCTGACAACCCCATGTGCAGAATCATCATAGCGCATTTATTCTTTAGAGAGAGCTGTTGTCCAGACAGATGCTGCAGAGAAGTGTCAGAACCAAAATGGGGCTTTCCCAAAGAAGATACCAGAACCGTGACTATGGGAGCCTGGGGACTGGAAATGTGTTTTTTTGGCATGGTACTTTCCACTCTGAAAAACAAAATGATGTTTATCTAGTCCCCACTCCTCGGACTTCTAATGAGCCCTCCCTTTCAAGCTCCTTTCCCCAGCAACTTCTGAACTGGCTCCCACTGAAGCTGCTTCCCCTGTCTGGCTCTACCTCCAAGCCAGGGAGAGTAGAAGGGAAACTCAGTCTACCGTGGTGTAGTAAGATTTCCAGAGTACATTAATGGGTGGAGCACCAGCCTGGGACCTTCATGGATTTAGATCTTCACGTTAAGCTGGGCATCGCCACTCACGTTCACCCCAGTCTTGAGGATGTGGTGTTTCTGAAGCAGAACCAGATGTGGTGTTTGCTGTACAGCCTAGGAGAAATTGGAATCTGGATCCTACAACCACAGTTTGATCAAGGAAGAGCAGTTTAGGCTGGGTTTCTGAGGGGATGAGGCAGGGCAGTAAGGGAAGCACCTGCAGTCTGGAATGTAGAGCTGCAGGTCTCCTCCTCGTCTGCTTGGCTGCTAGCTCAGGTTTCCAGACCAGAACTCACCCCGCAACTTGTGCACCCTTATCTGCTAGAGACAGCCATTATTAAGAAATCCTTTTGTGAGCAACGTACAAAGGCTTTTCAGTCTTTAAGTGCTCAGTAGGCCACAGATTTGGGAAACCGCGTATAAAATGTTATCAGATAGGATGGACTTCTGGATCAGACCCAGACAGCATGACCAGTGAATGATTCAATGGAGACAAACTGTGAAACATGATTGTTTCTTTGAAATGTGAAGCTAAAGAAGGATCCTATGAATGTGCTAATCAAGGTAAATTTTATGAATAAAAACATTATTGAAGTTTTAAATAAACCTGTCATGCAATTTATTCAGGAAAAAAAATGTATCAAATCCTGAATGTCTTAGCCCCAAATGAAGCAGAGTTCAATTAAGTTCACAGTTACTGCTCCCTTATGAATTACACTTACATGCTCTATATGTGGACATGAGTTTCAACATGTGGAGTTTCTTCCCCATTCTTTCTGCTTGATGTGGAGATTTGCCCTCTATGTACATCACTGGCAAGAGTAAGGAGTTCAGCTCACTGAAAATGCCTATCTTCCTTTATTCAATAATGCCTTTTAGGATTTGGCTTCCTGTCATTACTTTGCTTGATATTGTCCCTGAAATCTCTGTGTCTGTTGCCAATATGCTTCCTCACCTAAGAGCTGTTCAGGTTCATAACTATCTTCAGGCTTGGAAACCTAGGCTGAATGCATAGTAAATGATACAGATTTTCTCTGCGTAGGTATCAGGTGCTGTAAATTCTAGATTTTTCATGGTGCAGAGCTGGAATACAGACACATTTTTTCTAAATATAACACTTTACTCCAAGAGATTTCGTGTGGAGACAGGGCCTCTGTCTGTCATAACACGGCCTGCCAGCTAGCTTTGCAGGCAGAACCTGATAGTGTATTTAATCCTCCATATCCATTCTTGTGATCCATAAATATTATAATAGCTTTAAAGTGATGACAGAAAGGGCTTAAGCTTAAGTTTTGCAAGACAACATTAGAATAACTGTGAAGTTAGTCAGAGGATCAAATATGTTTTTATATGCCACTTTATGTAATCATCCCTCCCCTAAATTAAATAAGTGCTTCTTTCATTCAAAACAAAAATTCCTGCAGTAGGGCAACTTCTTGCTGAGACAAGTTTTGAACTGTCCCTGCGTGTTTAGCTCAGGGGAGGGAGGCTCTCTTTTGACTCACTCCCGCCTGCAATCAGCTTCCCATGATGATTCCTGTCTGCTCCAATACTGACGATGCACAAACACAATGAGTCACGCCGTCAGCTCTGGAGGCTGCTCACCACTCCGCTTCATTTTCAGGCACCACAGAGCTGATGCAACCTGTGGCTGTATAAAGGCTCTTTGTTGAGAATCCATACTTTATCTTTGTGGAAACTCTGCCACACAAATTGGAGATTATGGCATTATAATAAGAAAGCCCGTTACAATAATGAGAAACTTCAAACCTGAGCAGCCTCTTCGGTTCTGCTGTTGGTTTGCTTCTCCCACCATTCTTTCCTGCTCAGGACTACCTGGATCTCCAGTCAGGCAGCTGTGACTGACACATAGTAGCAGAAGGCTCAAATTACTGCAAATTTAAATTTCGGTGCACTTCTTTAATGTCGTAAAACAAGTTCTTGGCTGCTTCTATTTCACATTACCAAACATAATTCCTTATGGACGGCGGGCCAGCCACTCCACCATAGAACTCACTCCTCAGGATCCCTGACAGTCGCTTGGCTCGTCTTCCCGCTTCCCCGCCACCCCCGCTG